AATCTTCGCTTTACTGAAGTTGATGAATGGAGGTGTTCACCTGGAAATGACTGAGTTAAGGTGATTATTTGAAAGCTCTGTTGCAAAAATAGACTTCAATAAGTTATCAAGTCTTTTACTATTGTCCACTCAAGCTATGCTCTAAAGGCCCATAGAAAGTGTTTTTGATGTTGATAGGCTTGGCACAATGGTTTATTACACGTGCACATTAGTCATCAACCACTAGGCCACTTCGACCTACCATTCGCGTGTCGTCCGGATGGCACATCCACTTTCACACACACACACACACACACACTCGCTGACACACCGCTAAACTCGTCTTTGAAGTAAGCGCGAATAGTGTTGGAGCCTCTGTTCAAACGATTAGGCTTTGCGTAGCTATACCTACACATCGGCTGTAAGTGAATCATTCATTCAATTGTTGCCGTGGTTACCACAGTTTAAACAAACACGAGGACGAGACGAAATCACATCAAAGTGTGGATTGTGCAATTGGCGTCGTGATCAGCTCCATTTCTGCATTTGAAGGAGTCGTTTTATTTATTTCCACATATTCCATTGTCCAATAACACGACCAATCTGTTGAAGTGGAACAGATGTCCATTTTTAAGTACACCTCATCGGACAGCAAGGAAGCCTTCTTGGTTAATTTCGTGGTTTTCATTTTAATTCCTGCCTTAATTACTGTGAGATATGACGTTGGAAATTGGCTGAAAAATGTACCTAGTTTGTAGTATTGAAATTTTGCATTGATCATAATTGCGTCTTAATTTCTTATCATTTTTACCAATAAACTGTTTTCTTTCCATATTATGTAAAGTACCGTTTTATGTTCGGAAATCAGAATTCAAAGTACGCAAATAGGGCTAAACCTTGTACAAAATAACCAACTGATTTATCCATACGATTCGCTTATTGTTGTGGTAGTATTAGTAAACGGATGCAAAAAGTGAAAAGACTTGCTTTAGTTGAGCAAATAAAAAAATATCATATATTCTGGTCATGACGAATAAGCAAAGCCGACAGTAAACTTCTTTAAACTTTTAAGTTTCATTTTATTTTCACTAGTCTAATTGTGTGGCATACTTTCGTATCATGTCTTTAATGGTTTTATCTAAACATCTGATTTCAATATTTCTTCATCTTCTACATTATCCATTTCTAAAATCTTGTCTATGAAGAAAATGCTTTGTGTCATTTGAAGAAACGGTTGAAGTAACTTGAAAATGTTTTCCCAAATTTGCGAATGACAAAAGATTTTTTTCTAGGAAGAAGGGTATATTAGAAAGTTTAGTGAAAACTAAATATACACTTGAATTTCGATAAAATATCCACCTTTGACGGGAAGATAGCTGCCCTGTTGAAGAGGGTACAGTTGAAATATTTTCCTTCTGAAAAGTAAGGCCATTATATTTCAAGCTTTGGAGAGTATTACCACCAATTGTGATTTAATTTTAAATCTTTTTGAGTGGACGCTTAGTACTGTATTCTCGTCAATAAAAGGTTGCATCTATTGATGTTCCTATAAGATTTATAGTTCATCTTCCAGTCGATTCAAATTCCTTCAGTGGAGCACATTTTTAATTACTTACTTAATTACCATCTTGTAATATTTAATTTTGCATATTGCTATTTTGTTTTCAAGATCAGAAATTCAGTAGGAATTCTCCATTTTGTTGAAAGAAGCTGTATTTGAACTCAAATTTCAATTCTTTACTGATAAGGAGGCACTTTTAACCAACAGACGGCTAAAAGTACCTATGTGGATCTGCTTGATGTAAGCTCAGAAATTCTCACAAGACAGCCTATCAAAGAAGACATTATAAATCTTAATTATATAGCCTTGGGAATCTGGGCGCGTCTCGGGCACCAGCATTTCATAATGCACTGCAATGTTTTGGGTAATGGTAAGAAGTGGCTGATATTTTAGCAAGCTTGGGAAAAATCATAAAAATATATAGTCAATGTTGGCATTAATCAGGCTTAGGCAATTTATCACAATGAAAGGCCACGCGCGTGTGTTTTGGCGAATGGAATTCAGTCGGACTATGCACATCTTGACATCCCCAGTAACGCTCTCCTACGGGGGGTCTTCCCCTCGCGATAACTCCTTCCAATATGCACAACATAACCGACCACATTCCCCTCCCCATACTTCAAGTAACACCACCACTCTAACCATCACCTCGTTATTCCTAAAATCTCGATTATATATATATATATATATAATATGTTAATTAACGTAGATCATTTGCTCATCAGTAGGTTGCTCAATTTCAGGCAAATCGCATTTTTTTGTAACAATGAAGAACGCTGTGTCAAAGCTTTAAAATAAAATCAAATTGTATGATACTTTAATTAACAGACTCATCTCTACACCCTTGGGAATGAGGGAAAACGTATTGATACCTTTTTATTTTGCCCATATAACCCCCTGCAATGCAACACTTTTAATCATATGAAAACATCTGAATACGACTAACTGCATAAGAGGTCCATAATGAACAAAGGTGCTAAAGTTATAAGTACGGATGTCATAGATCGTCCACTTTTAGCTTAACAGGTATATTTAACTGCGCCATGTTCCAATGCATCAAAATCTTACTATCTTGATTTGTCGTTAAGGTTTTTGAATGAATTAATATCTACCATGTTAGAAGTTTATTGACCATTTGATAAATTTGGATAATTAATTGCATGATTTCGGAAACAGACGAATTATTCCGCCCTGATAATAAATATTTATGTTTAGAGTTTGAATGAAGGAAAGATACAAACTGAGAAGTGCCTTAAAACCATTCTTAAATAGACGAACGGTATATTGAACGAATACTGCAATATTGACATCTGAAATATTGCTTTATGCTTTGTCTGCTATGGGAACAAGGAGTGGTCTTTTTAAAGTAGTCTGTGAAATGTTGAATAGTATAGTTAAACATATAATGTGGTTAATAACAAGGTCCTTCGTAAATTTGTTAAGGTGTCAGAACTAATTTAGTTTAAATTGGTTAAATATTATATGAGTTATTAATTATGAACATTTTAGATTGTGAAAATTGACACAACTTTAAAATTATCACCTTCGGATTCTGCCATAGATTTCATTTCTATTCATTCAGGGAGATCTAGTCATGGAAGCCATTTTCTTTTCCGACACTACAAAATTGTAATGGTTTGGGAAACACAAAATTAGTTCAAAGATTAAAAATTTATTATTAAAGGCTTAACCATCCATAACATCCATCCAATTAGATAATTTCCTATACAACTTTACTCAATGTTCATTGCATTGTATTGTGCTTTCCAGGGGCATCTATCATTTGCGAAAGAGTTCCGATTATCCCCGAGACAGTACAGCTCCAGCCTTCACAGCTCGAGAATGCGAAATCGCTGCAAACCACTTGGGCTTTCGAACTCGACAAAGACGATTCTGCAATCATCCGCGTCTTGGATATGCCATGCTTCCAGTGCTTAGAGCTGCCCGTGCCGTCTGCTACCACTGTCCTGACACATTCTCAGATCGAAGATGGAATTGCTCTTCTGTCGAAGCTCTGCCTTTCGTCTCTCCAGAACTTAAACGGGGTAAGACGTTAATCATACTATGAGTAATATTTATTTCTTTATATCAAATGGCAGGCATTTTGATAGTTTTCATTAGCCCTTTAGTTGGCTCCAGGCTTCATAGAGGGAAGGAACATCAAAGTAAAAAAAGTCGAGAGGGAGGGGGGGGGGACAGAAGAATGTTTAAAGATGTAAAAGAGACAGACATAAAGGAAGAAAAAAGGTGATGTGAGTACTGTGGAAATGATCGAATATGCCAGTCAGGTCATNGGGGGGGGGGACAGAAGAATGTTTAAAGATGTAAAAGAGACAGACATAAAGGAAGAAAAAAGGTGATGTGAGTATTGTAGAAGTATTTGAATATGACATACAGTGAGGTGATGGTTGTTTGAAGTCAGAAGCCAACTGCCGATTAAAAGACCTTTTTGCCGTATGGGTATACGTTGCCCAGGGTGCACCACATGGAGGTAAGTCTATCGCACACTCCGCTATGAGTAATATAAAGCATCTTAAATGTAATGAAGATATGAGTCTTGTGGCAAGATACTAAATAGATTTGCTGCTTTTCACCGACCTAATATTTATCTAGAAAATGCTTTTTAAACTGTCTTATATATATATATATAATTAATACTAAATATTACTCAAATGTAGTTGTCAATAAGTGCATTTATGATTTCATATTTTAGTTAACGTTACATGCAATAAAGACTTTATTACTGGAAAATTTTGAATTCATTTTTCACTGTGACCGCTCTTCATTGTTATCAGTGAATATGCTTTAATAATAAAATAAATTAGTTATGACTTTTCAAAATCAGAACGGAATTATGGTCAGTAATGCAAATTTAACTTGACGCAGATTCAAGATCTACAATATGTTTAGGAAAAGAAGGTGGTTAGCATTTTGCACACATGACAAAGCTTTTGAACACCGGAAACGGGAAATTTCCCAGTGAGGCATGAAGCGGATGGAAGGCGATTTGATCCTAAACAAGGAATGAGAGTGTCAAGATCCCTCTTGTTTTTTAGTTCTAATGCAACATGTTGGATGCTATCTTGTCCAGTAAAATTTATTAATAGAAGACTACAGAGCTTCAAGTTTTAAATGACAGGACTTGACACATAAATTTCATTGAGAGATTTGCCGCAATTTTCATTGTTATTTATTAAAGTAGCGCAAATGAATGAAACTAGTCCAGGCACTTTTAATTTTGCAGACCCTGCTGGAAATTAAATATGCTTAATTAACCCGGTCAAAGTTACTTGTTTATCCACCATTGTGTTCCTTGATCCAAGCAACACTGTTTGTTGAAATGTAAATTCAATTATGTGGCAAGCGTCAATCTTCTCTAACACATTCAGGTGCCAAGAGTGAGGGGGGGAGAGGGGGGGAGGGGGCAATCTTTGAGGTTGTCTCAGAAGCGCGATTTGTTTTTTTCTATTAATTTTTGAAATCAGGACATCTTGTGAGACCTGCTCTCACACTTTTGACAGTCAAAGATTTCCATTTTTTAATGCAAGAATTTATTTAAAATATTAAAATTTTAATCTTTACACTGCACATGAACTCGAGAGCTAATTTTTTATTTGGAATATGTATATTCGAGTTTTTTATTTATGATCAAATTTTCAAACAATAATAACCGATTTCTCATTAATTGGCAACCTTACGCTTCATAAAGATTGTGTTTTGCAACAAAATAAGCGTCTAACGATTTGTAAGTCAAGGTGAGTTCATCGAAATCGGTGAGATCAAGTCTTTGACAAGTACATCAGATCAAGAGAAGCAAATTGGATGGCCATGCAAAACAAATAATGAACAGTGGACTCTTCAGAATTCGGCGAAATCGGATGGACACGAGAATTATTGATTAAGTCTTATATACGTTGTGCCAACTTCATTCAGAGTCACCGCAAAGGCTTTAACAACGCTAAATGGCAGATTTTGACATGCATCGACTTCAAATTGAGTCATTAACGGGTAATGTATACCCCTTAAGAAAATTCGAGTCTTTATTTTCCAATCAATTGAAAAAAGGGCGCTTTTTAAACAATTATTAATTGTGTTGCTTCTTTAGCAACTGCTTATCTATTTACCCCAAAATCCAATGCGCATGGAAATATTTTTAATTGCAAAAACGAATTCGAACTCATGGAATGCAAACAAGAATCTCTAATTAGGACTTTCACATTCATTTGGATATTGGGTTCATTCACATAGATATAAATAGGCTATCCAAAGTGCAATTGAAATAGAATATGACCCGTCTGAAAATGTTTTCGTTAGCATATTTGGTTACAAGAAATGCACCCCGAATGATTACAAATGAAATTAGCTATTGTAGTACAATGCAAGGATTTATTTTGTCAGCAAACCAGTTGTTTTGTGATGATTCCGTGAAAATTGCCGATATGACTTTTCACAACCACAATAAAAGAACTAGTTGTCATTCATATATATATATATATATATATATATTCCCTAGTGGCCCCAATTAAAGACTAACATTCCGCTACAACGAACTAATTCAGTGCTGATCAGTAAATCTGCTCATGGCCCATAAATGAATTGTGGCATTGGAGGGAGAGTTATTGATTTTTAGCGTGCAATTCCAAATAAAAAGTTGGTACTATTCTATTTAAATGAGCAATTAAAGCTTAGTGGGTGGCTATTCATTACAAGTAGCATAGAGGTTTGAAAATTTGGCACATACATGCCTAAATAGTGCAATATATGGGCACTTTTCATTATTAGTTAGTCAAATCGAATTATTTTTACTATGGTTGAAACACTGATTTTAACTAACATCTATCAAGTAGTTTTCATAAGGTATAAAAGTTTTAGCATATTACCAAATTATTTTTCATTCAATGTAATTAAAGCCCTTCTTTCTGTAGATATATTTTTGAGAATAGATTTATGAACCTAACTGAAATTAAAATCTGTTTGAAGATGGAAAAAAAGTTCATCGAATCTTGACATTTACAATTCGTGTCATTTTCTTTGCTTACAGGCACAAGAGAACAAGCAATCGTTCATGCTTACGCGGCAGCAGCATTGGTCTTTGAGATCGGACGCTACTGCGCACTCAACAAAATTCGCTACTGCTCCTGTGGTATGACAGGTGGAACAGAAATGATCATTAGTCCCGAAGGAGGTCAAATGTCGCGTTTTCCTCAAGGCTACACGCCTTCCAAACGCGTGAAGCGTCAGATCGATTTGGCTAACTTTCGCAAACTTAGTGATGCCATCTCCTTCCAACCAGAAGGTGTCTCTCTCCAGCAACAACAACAAATTCAACAACAACTTCAAGCGCATGTCCAAAATACGCATTATTGGAGCGGATGTCCAGATAATGTCGATACAGCTCGTAGCTACGTAGCACAGTTCTTAGGTTTTGATGAAAAACGACTGCTTATGGTTGGATATCACCCTCGTAGTCAGTCTGCCATGTCATATACATCTTCTTCTTCTGGCGATTCAGATGCATCGTCAGAATCCTCATTGTATTCAAAGCCTTTTAAGAATCCTACAGGGAACGATAAAGACTCGGTACCTTATGGATTCTATTCTCCACCTACTACGAGTCCGCCGCATCCATACTTGAACAGACAGTCCAGAAGCGTTGATGCGAAGAATCCCATGAAGGAAGAAGAGAAAGGTTTAAATAGAGCTTCAAGGCGCGCGAATAGGAAGCAAAAAGGCCCATCAAAAATGAAGCTTGTGAACCAGCACAATTCCATGGCTGGCGCCTGGGTAAATGACATATTAATTTATTGTTTTTTAAAAAACCAATTTCAAAGCACCTGACACTTTTATGATAAAATTGGTATGAAATGATTCAAATTAGCAATTAGAAATCCAAAATCACGTCTTTTTGTGCAAATAAATATTTATTAAGGGAACTTGCTTTCTTTCCGTCGTTGAACTCACATAATTATTTTGACAGCTAACAAATTCTTAAAATTCACCAAATATTCTCACCTTTATTTTGCTTTACTACAATTAACTTCAAAAAAAACTTTCTATTGTTTTCGAAGATGATGATATCACTCCAGAAACAGTCGTGTAAATGCCACGGTGTAAGTGGAAGCTGCACTCAGAAGGTCTGCTTCCGACAATTGCAGAGGATTGACACGGAACCTATCAAAGCGGCCATCAAACAACGCTACTTGGTAAGTCGAACTTTATCCTTACACCTCATGTAAAACGAATCCATTCGGACGATAGTTCAGTTGTTAATTTGAAAGGTCCAAGTATTAGTTCAACTGCGTACTAATTGAATCAATCTAATTTTACTTATTAATATGTGCACACTAAGAAATATGGAACTTTAGACTGTAATATCGCAGTTAGAAAGACTTGTATATAACAAGTAAGCTACTTAGAAGCAGAATAGAAAACTTTTCCTATCCTGATCTCAATTATGGACACGGAAGAAACAAATATTATCGACGGAGGTTTTTGGCCGTTTGACAGGCCATCAGTTTTGTCTAAGATCAATCGGCAGTTGAGAAACAAGGACAAAATATTATTTTAAACGAGGCAGATTCGGTTATTCATTTGCTCGAAACCTGAATCATATTTAGGTCTGTTAATTAATTGATGTATTAATCAATACATGCGTAAACATATTGAAGGGAACAGAGAATATATTCACTGACCTCTGGAAAGCATTATTCCCTCTTATCTGTTATAATAAGACGATTGGAAGCATAAATTAATTTTTTCCTATTCAATTACTTCCTTATTCCTATATCATTCACTCTCAAAAACCTCTCTATGATTCAGCGATTCTGAATGGATCTTCACTAAACTCATCATTTTATTCCAGGTCGTAAGATAAATGAGTGAATTGATATGGCCTGACCAACAAGACAATAAACTATCTCGGTCGGTAAAGTCTGCAAATCGTGGGCACCAACCCAACAGTAAACTCTAGGATCAGCTAATGAAAGTTGGATTTAAAAGTTCCGTCAAAATTCTAATAAAGCCCGGCCGTAAGCGGCCATTGCTTATTGCTCACTTTACTACGATCTCAGTTTATATAACCATTTATCTAGCGCATGTGCAGATATAATCGTACAATAAAAACCCATTGAAGCCTTTCTCAGTGTCACGAGTAGTGTTAGTGAAGATGTACATTTATTATACATATAAATCCCTTTCACATTCTAACTACCCTAATACATTTTTTTCTTCGTAGACCGCTAAGATGGTGTCTGGAATTCAAAATGATCGCCTTATGGTGTCTGTGTTTAAAGAGACCGACTTTGAGGATGAGTATGCCCAGTTGGAAGACCTTGTTGTGACTCAACATTCGCCAGATTATTGTGATCTTGATCCAGAACGCGGTTCACTAGGCACCCAAGGAAGGTTCGTTTAATTATTTATATTAATTCATGTGATTTTTTGCGAGTAAATAGTCTGAATGGAATAGAATTGGACAGTTTGGATACTAAGTGAAGATATACAAGGCTAAACATGTATAGGTGGCCTCAAGAAATTTTATTTAAATGGTTTTTTGTGTATTTTTTCTATTGAATACAATCGCAAAAAGCACATCTAACTGAATAACTTGATTGATCACATATACTTCAACTGACTAAAATTTATTATTGTGTCGCAGAAGCGTAACCAAAGTACTATTTATAGAAAAATGGACTGATATTTTAAAATTCATAAAAATATCATGAAATTAATGTTGCTTGTGATAACCTTTCAGTACTCCGAGAAAATTTCTCCAAATACTGAAATTCAGATGCACAAAAACGAGCAATTTTGTTAGCATGTGGAAACGGCTAAAATTCGGAGGGAGTAGACGTTGGCGCATAATCATACCTTCAGACTGGAGGTCTGATCTAAACTGTATAATCTCAGATTGGAGCAGGTTACTTTTTAAATAAGCAAAGTTTAAAGCTGTTCGCATTGCAAAATCTCACTTAGCTTCTACCTACAAAAAAAGTGGGCATTTGATTTTTAATAGACCATATTACCTTTAAACCCAAGTTGGGCTACATCACCCTTGTCTCTTTCTGAAACGGATGGTTTACAATTATGCAACTGGTTACATGAAGAGCTAGTAAACTAAATACTGTTTACTAAAGAATTCTATAGCATCTTTCTGAGAAGTTACCAATTGTCAAAAAATTTTATCCATAAAAAATTCTGAATAATTCATATTCGAAATGGGTAGACTTATGAAAGGTCTACAGCTTACAGACTCAGAGGAGACTTACTGAAATTTCGAATAGTTACATACTCATTTTCGAAAGACGTGGAAGACGAATAACAGAATCAGAAGAACTATGAAAATTCATTCTTTACTGGGTTTAGAAAAGAATGGCTATAGCTTAACAACTTTTGCCTCGATTGCAAATGATCGCCTTGATTTTAAAAAAAACCTATCAAAGGCTGAGAAGAAAAGGCTGATGGCATTGATTCTGTACTCGATATCTTCAAGCCGTTCACCAGTGAGTGTACCTTGTACTATGACACACGAAAGAAAGGACCATTACTTGGAATTAGAGATAGAGAAACACTTTCCATTCACTTTTAATATAGTAGAATCAATCATCTCCTTCTCCGCTCAAATGGAAATTCCCCTACACCATAAGCCAATTCCTACTGCAATCTTTCTGAAAATTGCCTACACTGTCTCACTAGCACTAACTTTAGATTCAAAGAACGAATACCTATACAAAATCACGGACCGGGTTGAGATGATTTAGCTTGTTGGCCACTATAACGGGAGCTAAATTTAGCAGAATTAAGAGCATCAGGCCAACATTTTTTTCAATCTACAGTTGCTATATTCTCATTTGTTCACATTACGTCAAGAAATGAAAACACCCCATGATTGATTGTCTTATATAATAACCATTAACGAGTAGTCCAACAGGCACTTCACAAAATTGGGTCAGATCGCCAAAAACGGCTAGACATCTGTTGGATTTACCTTTTCACCGAAGGGGGTGGGGGTGAGGTAGGGGTAATAAATGGCTGAACGAATTAATGGATAAGTGGCCAGGTACCTCAAGTGGTGGAAATCAACACCTTTATTCACACCCTCGTCTAAGAAACAAGGCGCAAATTCGTGAAATAATATCATTGCAACAATTTCTAAAGTTGATGTCAAAAGTTAGAAAAAAAGAAAAATAATATGACAATTTTTTGTAGCAATTATTCTGTGGATATTATTATTTCAAATGGCAGGCTTTATGATATTTTTCATAAGCCCATTCTGAGGATATTAAAATATGAAAAGATAGAAACATTGCTAATTTTCCTATTTTCACTATCTCATTTAGATGATAATTTAGTAAGTAAAATTGTATTTTATAAGCACAACTGTTAAATCTATTTCTAGTAGAATTCGTTGAAGATGGACTTATACAAAGTTGGCAGGATTTTGCTTTCAGTATTTCACTTACCAAAGAGAGGCTGAAGAGCGAAGTCGTTTCACATTGTTCATAAGTTCTCCATAAAGTCCTGAGAACCGTCAGAGTTTTATTATAAATTTTGTTAATTGTTAAATTATGTGAACCCTAGTTTGAAATCAAATTGGCTATGATTATCCATTTCACTGCGATGAAAATCGATAAATTTTCAATCTCGGTAGGGCCTCGACAGTCGAAATGGCTAAATCTAGGCTTTGCACACATATGGATGATGATGAAAGACTAATTCTACCTCCCAACTAATAAGGACATGATTTCATTTAAATGATATCAAAATTTTTCTAAAGCTTTCCTCGAATGATTTAATCCTGAGTGAGCCATGGTCAAGATATTTGAAGTTACAAGAATGACTGTCCATACCGTAGGAATCCGTTTGTATTCTTTTATGGATACGAGTAAGCAACTGAGATTATTGAAAGCATTTCTTGATACATCCAGGTTTCCATTTTAACTCAAGAACTTAATCAACTAAATAATCTTAGGCGCACATACTTTGGCTTTAAAACCCATAGTATATCCGTAACTGTGGAATGGCTAGCTTACCCGATTTATGATGCAAGTTTACTCCTACAGTTTTAAAGATATGAGACAGTGAAAGCAAATTCATTGTTTGATATAATTTCTTACACGGAGATAGCTTTGCACAATCTATCTTTTATCTTGAGATATGAGATTGTACGTTTAATAATTTCTCTATATATTTGATTTCACCTCATCTAATAATAAATTTTCTGTTGTTCAATGCGATTCCACTCAGAGGGTGAAATTGTGAGATGATAGTTGAAGTAAACAGTTTTTTCTCATTTTTTGGAGGCTAATGAAATGGCTGAGAGACACACAAACTCAAACAAGAGTATCGTTAATCTGCACTGTGAATAATGTCCTCATACATGGAACTATTCATTAAAAATTATTTATCTCTATTTATGATTGGGTGCATTCGTACCATATTGTCATCTTATTTCAGAGAGTGCAGTCTTAATGCAACTGGGGACGGGAGATGTGCGGTAATGTGCTGTGGTCGGGGCCACAAGAGCACAACACACCAGATTTATGAGAAGTGCAATTGTATTATGCAGCCAAATTTCAAGGTTCATTGTCAAACTTGCATCAGAAATGAAGTACGGCACACATGTTTGTGAGATACGCACATTCACCGCCTTCACAGAATCTCTTCGGTTTCCATCACCTCTTCACCCTCTCTCCCTCTCCCTCTCTCTCTCCGGCCACCCATCTGTAGACACTGGCATGTTGAGTGAAACCTTCGAAGCAAAAGACTTCTCCCTCCCACCCCACTGACTCCTCAACTCGTACCACTTTTATCTCTCTGTTATAAGTCATACTCTGAATTAAAAAAACTAAGTGAAGTGAAGTCCTAGTGTAAATAGATATCACTCTTTCCCAATCTTCTTACTTCTCTCTCTTTCTTTAACATTTTTGACATGCATTTTACTGACTCCATTGTTAACAATTAATATTCAAACGCGCGCACTTTCTGCTCAAGCAGTAAGTGAGCAAATAAGCGAACTCTATTTGCATAGTGTTCTATTGACTTTTGTGGTAAAATTAGTTCTTCTGGCATATATAGTTTTATTTTTGCTTCTTATTGCAGTGCAGTGGGCTCGCACACAATTCCATTAATAAAAAGGTTTGAGTCAATCATATCGCAGTTTGATGTGTCAACTAAAGTAGATGCAACAAATCGCAGTGAACATAACGATAAAAGAAACTCTATCCTTCGGCTTTCTCATGTTTCATATAGATTTTATCACCTAGTCAGAATGTGGATGCTCGATCATCACGCCTACATGATCTAATAATTGAATATCAAGTGATTTGAGGCAGTTTGTTTGTAATGACAATCCCTTATGAAATTGAAAAAGCGTGAGCAGTGAACTAAAGAAACAGTAATTTTGACAGTGTTCAATAAATATCTTATCCGATTGGCAGATAGATGAAATACCACTCCAATTAGTTTCGCCAATTGAGAATGCGAGTGTCATTCTATACCCTTAAATTTCGTTTCCATATTAGTCTAAAAACCCTTGCGCCAACTTGTTAAATCAATAGAGTCCAAAGGTGGTTTATTTAATTGAGTCACTGAGTAAAGTAAATTTACCAGTCTTCATAATATTGAATTTCTCCTTTCGTAAATTCTAGTGAGTGTTGCTATGTTTAAATCACGTGCACTTAATTCTTGCAGACAATAGAAAAACTCGCGAATTTTTATCTATCGGTGGTTGGATCTTTCAGTCTCGTTTTACTAATCAATAATAAATCAAGTAGATTGATGTTTGAAGATATTAGAAAAAGATGGTATTTTGCTAGAAAAATGCCCAACTAATCGGTTCGTGCATTTCCTTGTTGGACTAATAAAATTTGACTAATGACTTCCATATTTGATATGATCCACTGCCTTGCAAACTTAAAGTCCCAAAAATTGGGTCTAATTTCAAGTAAAAGTTAGTTTTTGCGGTTCCCCCTCAATTTAAGTACTAAAATAGATTATTCATCCTGTGCACCATCCCTTAATTATTTACTCATTAAGATCGAAATAAAAATAAGTTAATTTTTTTAGTAAGAATGAAACGAACAGTATTTTTTGGCCATTAGTAGGCAGAGTGAATAAGTTACGAATAGCAGGAATTCTATTCTTTAACTAATACATATATATATATATATATATATATATATATAAGTGTAAACTAGCCTGTTTATTGCGGAACTTACAGAGTCGCTACTAATGGCAAACCTTCATACCAAAATAATAAGTACACCAAAATACCAAATTGGGTTATGTATATATATATATATATATATATATATATATCTATACATATATACATACATATACATATATATATATATATATATCTATATATATATATATATATAAATATATATATTTATTTATTTATTTCAAATG